CCCATCGGGCAGGAGCACAGGGCAGGACTCCTGGGTCCGGTCCCAGGCTCAGCCATTGATTCCTCTCCCCCCGACCTGACATGTCCCTCTGTGCCTCAGTTTCCCCACATGGATGGGGGTGCCCCTAGCTGTTGGCTTCTCGTTTACTTACCCGTTTGGCTTCCCTGAGGCACCAAGGGAGCAGGGATGAAACCTGGGGGCAGTGGAGTGTAGGAAGTGCTCCCCCCCCCAATGCCCTGGCTCCTGCCCACACTGCCCTGGTGTTGCTAGGCCCTGCTCAGTCACAATGGCGAGGTTGCCTGTCACTTGTTCCCAGGCAGGAAGCTGCCCTGCCCTCCCTAGGCACATTAACAAGCCTGGTCCTGCTACCTGGTTCCAGGCCCACAGCAGGTAGCTGCTGGGGACCTACCAACCCCCTGGGTGTGGGGCTGAGCCAGGCCCCGGGGCTGAGCCAGGCCCCCAGCACCTGCCAGCTTGGCCTGCAGCATGCAGCCACCTCTGGGGGGGACCAGGCCCAGAGCCTCTGGAGAGACTAGGGTGGAGGAAACATACCCAGCTCTGAGCATGCAGCAGCTGAACTGCCACATAGAACAGGCTGGAACGATGAGTACAATAGACCCAGGTGTTGCAGGGGGACTGAGGCCTTTTCTGGCTCTGGGATATGCGGTCCCAGGAGAAGGCACTGGAGGGTCCCCGGCAGCTGGCATGGGGGAAGTGGTAAAAGCTTTCCTCTGCCCCAGGAAAGGGGGGGGGGGAAGGCCCATTTCCGGGGCATTGGAAGAACCCGCTGGGGCCCGTTCCTCAGCTCTGAGTCAGCTGGGCATGGCAGCTCCACCCGCATTCCAGTGCCTGGTGCCGGGACCCCCCTGCGCTGGCTTCTACCTACCCCTGAGGGCACAAGGAATCTGGGAGAGCATCCTGGGGGGGAGGAGCCATCTTTGGGGTCCAGGGAGCCTGGGAGGGGGTGCAAGGGTGGTCTGGAATCTGGGGTGGGGGACTGGTGTCCTGCGGGGGTGCAGTTTCCGTCTGGTGCGGCAGCTGGGCTGGGACCCAGGTGCCCTCCCTGCAGCCTCTGTCCCCCCCCCAACCCAACAGGTGTCACCCGTGGGTGCTGGTGCTGGCCGTGGTCCCCCTGCCCCTGCCCTCATGCCGTTGGGCCTTGGGCGCCGGAAGAAGCCCCCCCCGCTGGTGGAGAACGAGGAGGCAGAGGTGGGGGGTGCGGGGCCAGGTGGGGGGGATGGGGCAGGGGGTCCCGGAGGGCTGGGGGCCCTGCAGCCTGGCCTGCCTCCCCCGCCTGCTGGCCTGCGACCCCGCCTGGTCTTCCACACACAACTGGCACACGGCAGCCCCACAGGCCGCATTGAGGGCTTCACCAATGTGCGCGAGCTCTACGGCAAGATCGCTGAGGCCTTCCACATCCCCCCCACTGAGGTGCCTAGGGAGGAAGGGGCACAGGACCTGGAGCTACAGGGGGCTGAAGCTGTGGGGGAGGCTGGGGACAGGGGGTGTAGGTGGAGGGATGAGGGACATGGGACAGGTCTAGTG